ATAGCAAATTTCAAATGTGGTATAAATGTATGAAGTTGTAGTCTAGGAATGATTTACAGTTGAATTCTATGTCAGATTTACTTTTGAGGTATGAAGTTATTCTAGACATCGAAGTATATTCCCACAACTTGGTTAACCATTTTTTCATGGAAGGGAACAAATGACCTTTCCAGTAAAAAGCGTATAATATCCTTGCAGCAGTTAGCATATAACAAAGCTAATTCAGCATATATTGAAAAGATATATGGTTTAGTAATGTTTAATAAGAATATTGAAGGTTGAAATGGGAATTCAACTTTTAAGTTTTGTTTCTTTCTATTATTAAATATTTTCCAGAATTGTTGAGCTTTTGTTGCCAAATATGAAAAAAAAAAAATCTGATCTGCTCGTTACATTTCCAGCAATTTGGAGAGAATGAATTGTCCCTTTTAGTGATCAGGACTGGAATAAAGTACCAGCAATAAAACATCTAGTACCAGTTTTATCTAAGTATAATATCTGGGGTAGATGTAATGTTTTTCTAGCACTGAAATTCCCATTGTTGCATCTCTCATTGCATTCAAATTCTGCATCCATTTAATCATACAATCAGTCAAGTTTCTCAGTATTCCCCTTGCTTCCGCAATTCTTTTACTACTATGCTACTTATTTGAAGTTACTGGAACCAATCAGGTAGACTAGACCATTGTGAAATAAGAGTCTCAATCTTCATCTTATTAATAATTAAATCTTGCATTCTGAACAAATTATTAACTCTCCACTGAGTGATTTTCTTAGTATTTTCCTTTTTGTAAAAGTAAAATTTAATAATGAAGCAAGAGATGAGAAAATTATTATTTTTGTATATTTCTCCTGAACATTCAATACATTACTTATTATTGCATGATCTCTTATAAATTGTTAGTTTTGTTTACATCAACCTAGAGATATTTATGCAGAGTGGAAGTCCTGCCTCTTCCATAGAAGTAGCTGGGCAATAATAAGATATAATCCACTCTGAAATTCATGTTAAGCTATTAATATTATAACACAACATTAAGTTTGGAAAAGACCACCTTGGTCTTTTGAATCTTGTAAAATTTTGATTTTAATCCTTGGTCTTTTATGGGATCATATGTACTTGCTTAGGGGGACGCGGTGGCGCAGTGGCTTAATGACGCTGAAAGTTGCCGGCC